CGAGCTACCCAATCATCATCTAATAACTCTTTGTATAATATCTTACTACCCATGCGGATAAAGAATGGGATTGGAAATAGCGGCTCACCGAGTCCACTACCAACATACGCGGTACCTAAAGCGAAAATTAAACGTTATGATAGTTAATTTGGAAATTCCTAAAAGGAAAAAGCTGTTTAATTAAATAACTTTAATATACATAAATTTACATTTGCTTACATTTCAAAATTTTTTACACAAAATTCACACTTACACACTACTTTTACACTTAAGATTAACAAGTATTAAATACTTCAGTAATATGCATCAATTCTTGGCCTCTCAACCTAGATATCTTATATTACTTTACTTTGCAATACTTATTTTTCAGAAATATGTTAATTGTTATTGTGCACTACAACCGATCGGTATTTTGTTCGAAACGGATGATAACTCTTTTATCACCGTCGGAGTGTACATATACATTAGGGTAAAGTATTATTCACTAAGTGACTTGAAACATCCTTAAATTTTTAAATTCGTATATTATTAGTAAACACACACTCGTAATTATTATTTTGATTATACTATACATTAATTATAGCTTTAAAATTAACATTATCACTCCAATTGTTTATTTTATACTATTAGTGAAAGAATTTGAGTTTAAATTGCACTATGGAACGTATTTAAGCAAATCCCAAATACTTAGTTATGGGCACTTACTTATAGTGGTTGCTTTACATATTTATTGCACACAATTTAAATGTTTGGTCTTAATTACTAATATAATTAAAAGGCGATAGCACAAAAGACTTAAGCGATGATCTTGACCAATTTTCAATATCAAACGCCTCACTACTTTATGATCTGGATAATTTGTCTAGGTTAATATCTAATCAAAATTGTAACTTAAAAATAATGCATCAGAACATTAGAAGCATAACTCGCAATATGGATGAACTTAAAGTTCTAATACATAGGACAGCTTTAGAATGGGACTTAATTCTTCTTACAGAATGTTGGTTGCCGTCCACCCACTATATTCCGATAATGGATGGCTATAACTACTGTAAAACTCTTAATAATGCAACCCAAAATGAGGGTATAGTAGTGTATTTCAAAAAATCTTTGAATATAACCTGGCAGGAGTTGTCAATATCAGATTGTAATTCTATTTTTCTAAAAATATGTAAGGACACTATAGTCATTGTAATTTATAGACCACCTGGATTTAAGGATCCCACAAATTTTATTGAATCGCTTAGTAATATGCTCGATCAATATTCACATTATAAAAACATAATTATTATTGGCGATATTAATATAGATATTGTCATACATAGTAAAGACTCGTACGCTTCATATTACTTAAATAGTCTAGCATCTAAAGGTATGTTACCTGCCCACACCTTCCCTACCCATGGCAAAACGTGTCTAGATCACGTTGTATTGAAAACAAAACTACAATCAACCTGCTACGTTGCGGAGACTTCCATTACTGATCATGACACTCTTATATTTCTATTTGAGGCTAATTTCAGTACACGTAGTTTGCCACCAAAAATTAGAGAACGTATAAATTATGATAAATTAGATAGTTAACTTAGCACTTTAGACTTTAAAAGTATTTATTCTATGGTGGACGTTGACTTAGCAGCTACATTCCTGATAGAATCCTTAAGTAATGCTTTAAAAATTAATACAAAAACAAGTAAAGTTTCTAATCGCAAAATTATTAAAAAGCCCTGGATTACCCCAGGTATTTTGAGATCCTTAAGAAATCGTGACAAATTACACCAAAAATGTAAAAAATATCCGGATGATGACGTAATCATAACTACATACAAACGTTACCGTAATTACTGTAATGAACTACTTAAAAAATTGAAAAAGGAATATGAAAAATCGGAATTAACAGCAGCAGTTAAAATAAGTAATAAAAAACTTTGGGACACAATTAAAATAGTCACAAATATGAATAAACAAAATAATAAAGCCGATAAATTATTAAACAAATCTGACCCCATAACTTCAGTTAATTATGTTAATTCATTTTTTATAAATATGGGTAAATCTTTGGCAGAAAAACACCACATTAATAACAACACGTCTAGCATTTTTCCTATAAACACATATCACCATTCCATAGTACTTCTTGACACGGACGAACATGAAATAGAGACAATTATTTTAAATATGAAAACTAATTGTAGCGTAGGTAGAGATAATATTTCTACTTTCTTTCTAAAAAGGTACAGAAATTTACTAGTCCCTCACATTACATATATATGTAACCTTTCCCTTAAAACTGGTAAATTCCCCAACTGTTTTAAACTAGCTGAAATTCACCCTATTTACAAGAGCGATGATGCGGGTATGTGTCAATAACTACAGACCCATTTCCATTCTTCCCACTGTGTCAAAAATACTAGAAAAAGTAATCAACAAGCGCTTGACTAATTACTTAGAGAAACATAATCTGTTATCACATTGCCAATATGGATTTCGACCAAAACGTTCTACACAGGATGCAGTTCATGAACTAACTGATTTCATTGTTACAAACCTTGACAGTAAAAAGAAAGTAGTTGCTATATTCCTTGATCTAGCTAAAGCATTTGACACCGTCTCCGTTCCGCTTTTGTTGAATAGGCTAGAAGATCTTGGAATAAGAAATACACAGCTGAAACTGTTCTCTGACTATTTAACGGGTCGATATCAGAGGGTACGGATTGGTGGTTGCTGCAGTGATGATCTTCCCGTATCATATGGTGTACCACAGGGTAGTGTACTTGGTCCAACGCTATTTCTTACATATATTAATTCCCTATGTAATGTAAAAATTCACAATGGGAGGATCATTGCTTTTGCGGATGACATGGCTCTTCTTTTCCAGGCTGATACATGGTCTGAGGTATTTAACCTCGCACAAAATGGGTTTGATTTTGTAAATAAGTGGCTAAAAGAATATAAACTTACATTAAATGTCGATAAAACAAAATACATAGCATTTACTACAAAAAACATCAATGTACCTGAATTAGAATACCTCCACATTACAGCACACTGTTGCTCCCAAATTGATAGCTCTTGCTCCTGTCCTACTCTCTCTAGAACGGATTGCATAAAATATCTCGGCGTAATGATAGATAACACCCTTAGCTTTCACTTTCATATTGGCCTCTTAAGTACAAGGATACGTAAGTTAATTTATATTTTTAAAAATCTACGTCGTGTTGCAGATCTTAATGTAATAAAAATGGTATATTTTGCACTATGTCAATCATTGTTGACATATTGTATTACCATCTGGGGAGGCGCACCTAAAACAACCATGTTGCAATTAGAAAGGGCTCAGAGGGCGGTATTAAAAGTTAGCAATTCTCTACCATTTCTTTTCCCTACAACTGACCTTTATCAACAGTGTAGTGTCTTATCTGTTCGCAAATTGTTTATATTACACACTGCGCTACTACAACATTCTATGATACAGTATGAGTCCTCCAATAATGACAAAAGAAGGAAATATGTAGTTTGTCCTAGTAAATGTCTAAAGACCCAATTTTCACATAGATTTTTGTTTCCTGGGAGGTTACCTTTATAATAAATTGAATAAACTTTTATTAATTTACTCTCTAACAAAACATGCATGTAAACAAACATTACTGAAATGGTTGCTAAATATCGATTATAAGGCTGCTGAAAATTTACTGACAGTATTATATACACACACACACACACACACACACACACACACACACACACACACACACACACACACACACACACACACACACACACACACACACACACACACGCACACACTATTTTTATTTATATAGAAATAATTTAAAAAAACCATATAGAATCATTCCTTGTAGTATGATTGAAAATGTAAATATTATGTGCAATTCGTTAGGGTGAGGGCCTGGTGATCTATAACACAGGGATTACCCTAGTATGGACACCAGTCTCTCACAAAGGTTACAAATTCTCTGCAACCGTATTATTTACCTAAGTAATAATGTGAAATTTTATACCTTTGTGAAGAGGAAATAAAAATGATTTATTATTATTATTATTATTAAAATTTAATAAAATGAATTGAATTGTATACATTAATTATTAACTGAATATTATAATAGGGAATTAAATCTACTTTTTAGTAATATAATAGAGAGTTACATATTATATACTTGGATCTGAAATTAGAAGCACAAAAAACGCTTATAACAACGCATGATTTTTTTGTGGTCGTTACTGACAGCAGACAGGGACAGTGTGCAGGCGAGAAGTAAATAGATGAAGCGCTATTTATAATCCCATTCTTTATCTGCACGATTAGTATATTATGTCCCTCCCGCGCTGACATCCCCGCTACCGCCACCATCCTTATTTTGTCGCGCGAGAGTTTTAAATATAAAATAGTGACTATGAGTAAACCTTAGAAGATAGACATACGCTGTCGCAGACATAATATATAGCCTATGTTCAAGGGCGTCGCCAGCTGATGGCCCAGGGGGGAAGGGACAATACAGTCAAATGCCCATGAAACTTTACACTTAGGTTGCGTATCTTACCTCTAAAGCGATTAAAATAAGAACGCTACAAATTCAAATATGTAAAGCTCCATGAGCACTTGACTGTACAATAAATAAAACTTTTAAACAAAGTTAAGTAATTAAGTTATAATTATTTAAAAAACTTTTTTAAATAATTATATTTATTAAAAAAATAGAATAAAATGAATTTGGGATTACTCACAGATCAAGTTTTAGAAATTATAAAATTTTAATAATGTAGTGTTGCTGCAGCTGCCCCTTCCTCCCCTAGGGGCTCAAAAATAGGTGCAGTGGTTCCGGAGATAACCCTCCACATACTCACAAAAATCGCGTTCTCTCTGTTATGTTACGTATAATATATTGTAAAATGTAACAAGTTTATGAAAGCGAGTATTACTGTTAGTCTAAAGTGTATCATTTCTTTGTAAAATATCGTTCAATTTATTTTGTCCGTAGGCATATTGCGTTCGCGGTGCGTGCCGCTCGCACTCGGACCAGTGCCGGCTGCTGTGGGGCGCCACCGGCGAGAGCTCCGATACCCGCTGCTACACCTCCACCAATGTTAAAGGGACCAAGTAAGTTTGCTACAAATACTATAGTACAATACAGATACTAGTACGGAGCAGTGCCGAATGCTGTGGAGCGCCACCGGTGAGAGCTGCTACATCCGCTGCTACACCTCCACCAACCTTAAAGGGACCAAATAAGCGCTACTAATACTACACCTCCACCAACCTTAAAGGGACCAAGTAAGCTTGCTACAAATACTATAGTACAATACAGATACTAGTACGGAGCAGTGCCGAATACTGTGGAGCGCCACCGGCGAGAGCTGCTACATCCGATGCTACACCTCCACCAACCTTAAAGGGACCAAATAAGCGCTACTAATACTACACCTCCACCAACGTTAAAGGGACCAAGTAAGCTTGCTACAAATACTATAGTACAATACAGATACTAGTACGGAGCAGTGCCGAATACTGTGGAGCGCCACCGGCGAGAGCTGCTACATCCGATGCTACACCTCCACCAACCTTAAAGGGATCAAATAAGCGCTACTAATACTACACCTCCACCAACGTTAAAGGGACCAAGTAAGCTTGCTACAAATACTATAGTACAATACAGATACTAGTTTGGAGCAGTGCCCGGCGCCACCGGCGAGAGCTCCGACACCCGCAGCTACACCTCCACCAACGTTAAAGGGACCAAATAAGCGGTACTAATACTATGGTACAATACAAATACTATAGTACGGAGTAGTGCCGGCTGCTGTGGAGCGCCACCGACAAGAGCTTCGACACCCACTGCTACATCTCCACCAAAATCAAAATTTTAATGTAGATTCTAGATTCAAATTTGGATGCTGTGGAGTTAATGTTTAAAATCGAGATTGTATAACTGTTCTAAGTGCACATACGCACTAAGTGGTTATCCGCATCGCGGCCAGTTGTTCGATCGACAGTTAGAAAAAAAAACTCGTAATACTTATTTCATTTGCAACCCAAGTTACAGTTACAGCTTGTATGCAGCATTGGCTTATATTAAAAGAAAAACCCGTAAATCTTAATACGTTTCTCGAGAACGTCCATTTAGCTGTGCACAACAACGAAATGCGAGCGGAGCTGCGAGAATGTATTGCGCTAGCATCAAGCTAAGTTCTCAATCGCTTTCAGTCTTTCTCACGCAACGCCTATTATTTTCGCTTGTGAGTTGTTGTTTCTTTCGTAAGTTGCGAACAAAATTATTGTTTCCTTATAATTTATGTACTATAAATTTTTTATAGTATAGGATGACAAACGAGCGCACAGTCCACCTGATGGTAACTGATTGCTGTGACCCATAGACATCTACATTTATCTTCAATAAAGAGTCAAAATGCCGATGCGTCGTCATCAGTGAGGACTAAGATGGAATGCCTCTTTTCCAGTAAAGTGGGTCTCGGTTCTCTACATTCACCATACGATACACAGCAGCGGTAATCTGCCATTTTACGCTGGCATTCTGTGAGAGGTTGGTCCTTCTCCGGTCGAGCCGACCCATTCGTGCTACAACTATACTACTACTATAGCTGCAGCATGACTCTACCACGTTTATAATATTTACTAAGACTGACTATATGACGATATTATGACATTAGTAAGTATATATTTCTACTAAATTTGTTTTTAGTATTAAGCATATAATGTAGAGAGTCTAGATGATCGTGATCATCATGATTATCTTTCGCGTTAATAAAGAAGAAAGAAAGCAGTTACCCGTACGACATTGTCTGTGACTACGTACAACATTATGATGTATCACGCGCAGGAACGGCAACTGCGGCTACGACCGCGTGCGGCAGATCTTCCGGCCGTGCGCCGCTGCGGACGCGCGCTGCGGGCTGCTGCAGTGCCGCCACCTCAACGAGCGCCTCGAGTTCGGCATGGAGTCCGTCGCACAGCTCTCCGCGCTCTTCATCAACAACAACGGTGACCCGCCACACGCACACACACTCACACACGAGTTCGGCATGGAGTCCGTCGCACAGCTCTCCGCGCTCTTCATCAACAACAACGGTGACCCGCCACACGCACACACACTCACACACGAGTTCGGCATGGAGTCCGTCGCACAGCTCTCCGCGCTCTTCATCAACAACAACGGTGACCCGCCACACGCACACACACTCACACACGAGTTCGGCATGGAGTCCGTCGCACAGCTCTCCGCGCTCTTCATCAACAACAACGGTGACCCGCCACACGCACACACACTCACACACGAGTTCGGCATGGAGTCCGTCGCACAGCTCTCCGCGCTCTTCATCAACAACAACGGTGACCCGCCACACGCACACACACTCACACACGAGTTCGGCATGGAGTCCGTCGCACAGCTCTCCGCGCTCTTCATCAACAACAACGGTGACCCGCCACACGCACACACACTCACACACGAGTTCGGCATGGAGTCCGTCGCACAGCTCTCCGCGCTCTTCATCAACAACAACGGTGACCCGCCACACGCACACACACTCACACACGAGTTCGGCATGGAGTCCGTCGCACAGCTCTCCGCGCTCTTCATCAACAACAACGGTGACCCGCCACACGCACACACACTCACACACGAGTTCGGCATGGAGTCCGTCGCACAGCTCTCCGCGCTCTTCATCAACAACAACGGTGACCCGCCACACGCACACACACTCATACACGAGTTCGGCATGGAGTCCGTCGCACAGCTCTCCGCGCTCTTCATCAACAACAACGGTGACCCGCCACACGCACACACACTCACACACGAGTTCGGCATGGAGTCCGTCGCACAGCTCGCCGCGCTCTTCATCAACAACAACGGTGACCCGCCACACGCACACACACTCACACACGAGTTCGGCATGGAGTCCGTCGCACAGCTCTCCGCGCTCTTCATCAACAACAACGGTGACCCGCCACACGCACACACACTCACACACGAGTTCGGCATGGAGTCCGTCGCACAGCTCTCCGCGCTCTTCATCAACAACAACGGTGACCCGCCACACGCACACACACTCACACACGAGTTCGGCATGGAGTCCGTCGCACAGCTCTCCGCGCTCTTCATCAACAACAACGGTGACCCGCCACACGCACACACACTCACACACGAGTTCGGCATGGAGTCCGTCGCACAGCTCTCCGCGCTCTTCATCAACAACAACGGTGACCCGCCACACGCACACACACTCACACACGAGTTCGGCATGGAGTCCGTCGCACAGCTCTCCGCGCTCTTCATCAACAACAACGGTGACCCGCCACACGCACACACACTCACACACGAGTTCGGCATGGAGTCCGTCGCACAGCTCTCCGCGCTCTTCATCAACAACAACGGTGACCCGCCACACGCACACACACTCACACACGAGTTCGGCATGGAGTCCGTCGCACAGCTCTCCGCGCTCTTCATCAAAAACAACGGTGACCCGCCACACGCACACACACTCACACACGAGTTCGGCATGGAGTCCGTCGCACAGCTCTCCGCGCTCTTCATCAACAACAACGGTGACCCGCCACACGCACACACACTCACACACGAGTTCGGCATGGAGTCCGTCGCACAGCTCTCCGCGCTCTTCATCAACAACAACGGTGACCCGCCACACGCACACACACTCACACACGAGTTCGGCATGGAGTCCGTCGCACAGCTCTCCGCGCTCTTCATCAACAACAACGGTGACCCGCCACACGCACACACACTCACACACGAGTTCGGCATGGAGTCCGTCGCACAGCTCTCCGCGCTCTTCATCAACAACAACGGTGACCCGCCACACGCACACACACTCACACACGAGTTCGGCATGGAGTCCGTCGCACAGCTCTCCGCGCTCTTCATCAACAACAACGGTGACCCGCCACACGCACACACACTCACACACGAGTTCGGCATGGAGTCCGTCGCACAGCTCTCCGCGCTCTTCATCAACAACAACGGTGACCCGCCACACGCACACACACTCACACACGAGTTCGGCATGGAGTCCGTCGCACAGCTCTCCGCGCTCTTCATCAACAACAACGGTGACCCGCCACACGCACACACACTCACACACGAGTTCGGCATGGAGTCCGTCGCACAGCTCTCCGCGCTCTTCATCAAAAACAACGGTGACCCGCCACACGCACACACACTCACACACGAGTTCGGCATGGAGTCCGTCGCACAGCTCTCCGCGCTCTTCATCAACAACAACGGTGACCCGCCACACGCACACACACTCACACACGAGTTCGGCATGGAGTCCGTCGCACAGCTCTCCGCGCTCTTCATCAACAACAACGGTGACCCGCCACACGCACACACACTCACACACGAGTTCGGCATGGAGTCCGTCGCACAGCTCTCCGCGCTCTTCATCAACAACAACGGTGACCCGCCACACGCACACACACTCACACACGAGTTCGGCATGGAGTCCGTCGCACAGCTCTCCGCGCTCTTCATCAACAACAACGGTGACCCGCCACACGCACACACACTCACACACGAGTTCGGCATGGAGTCCGTCGCACAGCTCTCCGCGCTCTTCATCAACAACAACGGTGACCCGCCACACGCACACACACTCACACACGAGTTCGGCATGGAGTCCGTCGCACAGCTCTCCGCGCTCTTCATCAACAACAACGGTGACCCGCCACACGCACACACACTCACACACGAGTTCGGCATGGAGTCCGTCGCACAGCTCTCCGCGCTCTTCATCAACAACAACGGTGACCCGCCACACGCACACACACTCACACACGAGTTCGGCATGGAGTCCGTCGCACAGCTCTCCGCGCTCTTCATCAACAACAACGGTGACCAGCCACACGCACACACACTCACACACGAGTTCGGCATGGAGTCCGTCGCACAGCTCTCCGCGCTCTTCATCAACAACAACGGTGACCCGCCACACGCACACACACTCACACACGAGTTCGGCATGGAGTCCGTCGCACAGCTCTCCGCGCTCTTCATCAACAACAACGGTGACCCGCCACACGCACACACACTCACACACGAGTTCGGCATGGAGTCCGTCGCACAGCTCTCCGCGCTCTTCATCAACAACAACGGTGACCCGCCACACGCACACACACTCACACACGAGTTCGGCATGGAGTCCGTCGCACAGCTCTCCGCGCTCTTCATCAACAACAACGGTGACCCGCCACACGCACACACACTCACACACGAGTTCGGCATGGAGTCCGTCGCACAGCTCTCCGCGCTCTTCATCAACAACAACGGTGACCCGCCACACGCACACACACTCACACACGAGTTCGGCATGGAGTCCGTCGCACAGCTCTCCGCGCTCTTCATCAACAACAACGGTGACCCGCCACACGCACACACACTCACACACGAGTTCGGCATGGAGTCCGTCGCACAGCTCTCCGCGCTCTTCATCAACAACAACGGTGACCCGCCACACGCACACACACTCACACACGAGTTCGGCATGGAGTCCGTCGCACAGCTCTCCGCGCTCTTCATCAACAACAACGGTGACCCGCCACACGCACACACACTCACACACGAGTTCGGCATGGAGTCCGTCGCACAGCTCTCCGCGCTCTTCATCAACAACAACGGTGACCCGCCACACGCACACACACTCACACACGAGTTCGGCATGGAGTCCGTCGCACAGCTCTCCGCGCTCTTCATCAACAACAACGGTGACCCGCCACACGCACACACACTCACACACGAGTTCGGCATGGAGTCCGTCGCACAGCTCTCCGCGCTCTTCATCAACAACAACGGTGACCCGCCACACGCACACACACTCACACACGAGTTCGGCATGGAGTCCGTCGCACAGCTCTCCGCGCTCTTCATCAACAACAACGGTGACCCGCCACACGCACACACACTCACACACGAGTTCGGCATGGAGTCCGTCGCACAGCTCTCCGCGCTCTTCATCAACAACAACGGTGACCCGCCACACGCACACACACTCACACACGAGTTCGGCATGGAGTCCGTCGCACAGCTCTCCGCGCTCTTCATCAACAACAACGGTGACCCGCCACACGCACACACACTCACACACGAGTTCGGCATGGAGTCCGTCGCACAGCTCTCCGCGCTCTTCATCAACAACAACGGTGACCCGCCACACGCACACACACTCACACACGAGTTCGGCATGGAGTCCGTCGCACAGCTCTCCGCGCTCTTCATCAACATCATCGTATGCCAACGTACACGACCACGTATTATTGTACACGCACGTATTCTGCACGCACTCCTACGTCGACGTGTACTCACACGTACATTGACACAAATTATTATATATTAGCATTATTGGACATAAGATGTATTTCGAATATTTTATGATTTTCAATTCTAATGTATCAATCCTCATTGAGGATTTTACGATTATTTTTCTGAATTCCTCATTGTTCCATCATTATTATCATATTATTATCCCAAAAAATTCCATAGAACGCGGTTCTGAGCAATCAGCATCCATCGACTTCCTGCATCTCTAACCAGGGCATTACTCCATCTCGTGCTTTACCAACACAAAACTACCACTCAAGAACCTTTTTTTCCCGTTTGTTGCCAGTTACTCGAACCATATGGTCGACCTGTTACCACTATCCTCGTTCGGATTATTGAGTTACTTTTTTATGGAATAAGGGTGTCAAACGAGCACACAGTCCACCTGATGGTAAGTGGTTGCTGTGGCCCATAGACATCTACATCTGTCTTCGTTTGCGAATTAAAATGTGCGTTGTCAGCCGTGAGGATTAAGATAGAATGCCTCTTTTCCAGTAAAAAGGGTCTCTGGTTCTCTACACTCACCATACGAAACACAGCAGCATTAAGCTGCTATTTTACGCTGGTATTCCGTGTATTAATTCGGAATACTTTTGTCTTGGGACAACCCAGCAAGAAATTATACAATAGCAAACGAACTAGCAATAAAATAGTGACGATGGATTCATCTAAGCCTATTCATTAATAATTATTAATTAGAAATACTCCCCATAATTTAATATCATTATATAATATTAATTATAATATCCTCTTCAGGTACAATAATACCGTGTCGCACGGCCATAATAGACCTGGGCTTGAGCGATGTCGACCCCGGCATGGTCCCGGACGGCGCAAAGTGCGGAGAGGATAAGGTAAAAACTCTGGAACAAGATTGAAATTTTTATTATATTTATAAATTTTATAACTATTTATTGCCTTCTAAAAACTACACTCATGAAGGGTAAACATAGAATAGGTATGTAAGGAAAGGGCGCATCATGGTACTATATTCTTTCAGCATTGATGTACAGCCATTTTGTCTCTCTTGTTTAGGACATTTGCAATGAATCTTTTATATCATCTATATAAATCTATACAAATAAATAAAATTGAAGTGTCTGGTTGTAATACCAAAATAACAGCTTTTCACTAAATGCATAGCAAATTATATACGTTACTTATAACAAAAAACAATTTTTAAAATGTCTGCCTGTCTGTCTGTTTGTTCCGGCTAATCTCCAAAATGGCTAAACCGATTTTGACGAGACTTTCACTACCAGATAGCTGATGTTACAATGAGTAACTTAAGCTATTTTTATTTTAGTACTAGCTGTTCCCCGCGACTTCTTCACCCGCGTGTAATTTAGGGTTTTAATTTTTTTTGCGAGGAACCCTATTTATTTTTCTAAAATAATAGTAGCCTAAGTTACTCCTTATGACATCAGCTATCTGCCGGTGAAAGTCTCGTCAAAATCGGTCTAGCCGTTTCGGAGATTAGCCGGAACAAACAGACAAACAGACGTGCAAAAATTTTAAGTGTATTTTTGTTATATGCATTTAAGTAAAACGCTGTAATTTTGACATTGCAAACAAACACTTCATTTATTTATTTTATTATATTTGTATAGAGTATAGATAAGAATTAGGGTTCTGTGCAAAAAAATTAAAACCCATGAAATTCTATCGTAATAAATTCCACGCGGGCGAAGTTGCGGGGAGCAGCTAGTCTAATAATGTATGATAAATGTTCCATTCCAACCGTCTATCCATTACAGTATATCGAAATCCATTGTTGAACATAGACCTCCCCATAGATTATCTCATAGGTATGTACCATATTGCAATGCTTGGCAAGCAGGTTGGCTGCCACATTTTATTATCTACTTGTTATTAGGAAGTAGTCAAATTTAAATAAAAATATTTTGACTTTGAATTATGCTTGTGTCGGCAACTACTGCTAAACAGGGAAGCTTGGCGGTAGTTATCAATAAGAGTGGAGTATGAATAGCAGGGAACTTACAATAGTTGGCTGATAGGAAAAGAAAGAATCTTAGTAGTACTAGCCATTCCCCTCGATTTCTCCCGCGTGTAATTTAGGATTTGAACTATGTTGCGCGGAACCCTAATTATTTTTCTACAATACTGTATATACTTCATATAGTATATACATATAGTAAAAAGCTGTTATTTTGACATTACAAACAGACACTTCAATTTTATTTATTTGTATAGATTCATTCATTCATTCATTTATTGCCACTTATCCTTGTCCACAGCTGAATACAGACCTCACCCATGAATTGCCTCCAAGGGGGTTATTTGGAATAGTTGACACGCTCGACAGATTTTATATAGTTTTGAGTAGTTATTAGAAAGATGCTACTGCCTACTCCAGTTTCAGTTCCCTTTGTCGCCTCTTACGACACCCAATGATATGTGGTAGTAGTTTTTTTTTTATGTGTATTTTTATAGTGATATCTAATTAGCTTTCTTTTCTTTTGTAGATGTGTTTAAATCAAAAGTGCGTTAATGTGGAGGCGATAAGAGAAGCCATAGCGAAGAAAGAGACCGCTGTATGTCCCTCCAATTGTTCGGGACACGGCGTTTGTAACTCTGAAGGTATTTATATATGTTATTGTTGTATATTATTTATTTTTGAAGGTATTATTTGGTAGCTAAAAATGTTTTGCAAATAAAATCTTAAGTCAGTCACTTAACTTATCAAAATTTTGAATAAATATAAAATATTAGAAGTATTTTTTTAAATATTTTCTTCCCAAACAAGAAGTTTTGTTTTTGGGCCTTTTATTAATTTCTCGTTTGATACATTTTTTATAAAAAACTGGCTACGCTGTTCTTACCTGGAGTTCCCGTCAATCTCTTATTTTCACTGAATGTTATCAACTAACTTTTGCCGTGTAGTGGCGGTTAAGAATATCCACTACCCCATATCTTCCCGTGGGTGTCGTAAAAGGCGACAAAGGGAAACAGGCAGGAGATGGGCAGCAGCATCTTCCTGGTAACGACAAAATACAATAAAAAACTGCGGTTGCCAACCCGCTCGCCAAGCGTGGCAACTATGGCAATATACCCCCCATAATGAAAGTTACGAAGAGACGGCCCCCAGTCCCCGGCGGCCCCGCTATTCCTGGCTACGGTGGCGACCATGGTAACGGCGGGGCAGGGGGTGCTAAGAATCTCCGGTGGAGGTTCGGTTGCCACCTACAACGACTCGACCTGGCAACATACAACGCACGCACCCTGAGGACTGACGAGAAGATTGTGGAGCTGGAAGAAGAGATAGACAAGTTACGCTGGCATATTATAGGATTATCCGAAGTCCGAAGAGAGGGGGAGGACACGGTAATCCTCGAATCCGGCAACTTGCTCTATCACCGGGAGGGCGACCATCTGTCCCAAGGAGGTGTCGGATTTATCGTCCACAAGTCTCTCGTTAACAACGTTGTAAAGATTGAGAGTGTGTCGACGAGGGTTGCGTACCTTATACTCAGAATCACCAAACGGTATTCGCTGAAGGTCATACAGGTTTACGCACCAACCTCGGCACACCCCGATCAGGAGGTGGAGGAAATGTATGAGGATATCTCTAGAGCCATGCATTCCTCCAAAACCCAATATACGGTGTTAATGGGAGACTTCAATGCAAAACTAGGCACAAGAGAGAACGGTGAGGTGAAAGTGGAGAAATTTGGAATAGGGCAACGGAACCCAAGGGGCCAGCAGTTGGCCGACTTCATGGAGAAAGAGGGACTCTTTATGATGAACTCTTTCTTCCAGAAGCGGCCCCACAGGAAGTGGACCTGGTCGAGCCCCGACGGTTCGACAAAAAATGAGATTGACTTCATTATGACGACCAGACGACAACTGTTCAGTGATGTCTCCGTGATCGCGAGGGTGAAAACCGGCAGCGATCACCGAATGGTTAGAGGCACACTGAACCTAAACGTTAAGTTGGAGAGGTCTCGTCTAATGAAGTCAACGCTCCGTCCCCCTCGTGCTCTAATCCAAAGTCCCGAAACCTTTCAGCTCGAGTTGCAAAACCGTTTTCAGTGCCTAGAAGACTGCAATGAAGTGGACGATTTGAATGACAAGCTCGTGGAAACTGTCCATGCGGTCGGAGCTAAGTTCTGCAAGACCCGCCGCAGAAGAACACAAAAACTCTCCGATCACACTCTTAATCTCATGGCTGTTAGACGGGAGATGAAGCTACATTCTTCAACAGATTTGACAGCATACAGGCAACTGAACAGACAGATCTCCAAATGCATGCGGCGGGACTTACGCAACTTCAATACAGCTCGTATTGAAGAAGCGATCGAGCGGAACCAAGGCTCCAAAGTCTTTGCCAGAGATCTGCCTGCCAGAAAGAGCCAACTGTCAAAGCTGAAGACCGAATGTGGCAGCATCGTTTCCGGGGCACCTGAGATTTTGAGTGAGATTGAGAGGTTCTATGGGCAGCTGTACACGTCATCGTTGGAGCCACACGCAAGTGTGAGTAACGATCCAAGAGCGAGTCTTATCCGACATTATTCCGATGATATCCCGGACGTCAGTCTGAGCGAGATTAGAATGGCTCTCCAGCACCTTAAAAACGGCAAGGCCCCAGGCCAGGATGGAATTACAGCGGAGCTTCTGAAAGCGGGTGGAAAACCGGTACTTGAAGTCCTTCAGAAGCTCTTTAATTCCGTCCTCCATGGTGGCATTACACCGGAGGCGTGGAGCAGAAGTGCGGTGGTCTTGTTCTTCAAGAAAGGCGACAACGCTCTCTTGAAGAACTACAGACCGATTTCCCTTCTGAGCCGCGTCTACGTGCTGTTTTCGAGAGTCATTACGAATCGTCTCGCGCGCAGACTTGACGACTTCCAGCCTCCCGAACAAGCCGGATTCCGAAAAGGCTTTAGCACCATAGACCACATACATACCCTTCGGCAAATTGTACAGAAGTCCGAGGAGTACAATTTGCCACTATGTCTGGCGTATGTGGACTATGAGAAAGCCTTTGATTCCGTCGAAATTTGGGCGGTGCTGCAGTCCCTTCAGCGATGCCAAGTTGACTGTCGGTATATCGAAGTGTTGAAGTGCTTGTACAGTAGGGCTACGATGGCTATCCGAGTACAGAACCAGAGTACGAAACCTATCCAATTGCAGAGAGGTGTAAGACAGGGTGACGTCATATCCCCGAAACTCTTCACCGCTGCATTGGAAGATGTTTTCAAGCTTCTGGACTGGAAAGGATACGGTATCAACATCAATGGCGAGAACATCACTCACCTTCGATTTGCCGACGATATAGTCCTTATGGCAGAATCGCTGGAGGACCTAAGCACTATGCTCAATGACCTCAATAGTGTTTCCCAACGGATAGGTCTTAAGATGAACATGGACAAAACAAAGATCATGTTTAATGTCCATGTCACACCTATGCCGGTAGTTGTTGGGAACACTAAGCTCGAAGTTGTTGACGAGTATGTTTACCTGGGACAAATAGTCCGACTAGGTAAGTCCAACTTCGACCGAGAGGTCAATCGACGGATTCAACTCGGTTGGGCAGCGTTCGGGAAATTACGGCACATCTTCTCGTCAGGTATACCTCAAAACTTGAAAACGAGACTGTACACCCAGTGCGTGTTGCCAGTGATGACATACGGAACTGAGACGTGGTCCTTCACTGCTGGCCGGATGAGGAAGCTCAAGGTCGCTCAGCGAGCTATGGAGAGGGCTATGCTCGGAGTTTCTTTGCGTGATAAACTCAGAAATGAGGATATCCGCAGTAGAACCAGAGTGACCGACATAGCCCAACGGATTAGTAAGCTGAAGTGGCAATGGGCCGGCCATATAGCTCGAAGAACCGACAACCGATGGGGAAGAAAGGTTCTCGAGTGGCAGCCTCGTACCGGCAGGCGAAGTGTAGGGCGTCCCCCCACTAGATGGAGTGACGACCTGGTAAGATTTGCAGGAAGTCGATGGATGCAGGTGGCTCAGGACCGTGCTTTGTGGCATTCTTTGGGGGAGGCCTATGTTCAGCAGTGGACTTGTGAAGGGCTGTAATGATGATGATATCAACTAACTTTGGGATAATACTAACCTATTTTTTTTAAATGCTTGTTACTCAACGACACCTAAAGGGCTGAAAGATGAAGATGAAATTTGATCCAACAAGTCGATAGGTCAAAACAGTAATTATAAAACTCTGACTGCGTAAAAATCTCATTTCTACAATTAAGACCACTCTAACGAACACATATATTATTAAGGCCTTTAGGCTACAGTGTGCTAAAGAAATAGACATACATACATACATTACTCTCCATCTGGTATAGTCGGGTAAAAATATCCCATATTCAAGAGTAATACATAGAATACTTTTTACCATAATACCACAGAATAAATAATAGTTAAAAGAACCGAAAGATCACGCTCTGATAGCAAACTTGCGAGTTTAATCTTAGTTACGACCTTTGCACGCCTCGGAAGTGACCTTCGCGAAATTAGCCTACCGTTTATTTAGTCGAAAAAAGATTATGTGGCGCGCGTATTAAACCAAAATGCACCTTACTTCCGCGTTCGAGTGTCTGTATCACTTAGCCCGTAACGCGCCTTTGTTAAGACCGCTTCTACTGTAGGGTTAGGTGTTGTGAGAAAACAAATTGAATTCTTTGATATTAGTTTGCATATAGTAGAATACATACAGGTGTTATGCAATGTATTTCCTTTTTTTTTTTAAACTATACCCCCACACTAGAACTTTCTCCTGTATCGTGGAGGCAGTTGACAAACATCAATTGCACTAGAACAAACATCTAGACCCGGAACAATTATTTGTAGGCCATACAAAAACTTGTTCCGTGCGGGATTCGAACCCGTGGCCCTAGCGTTGCAAGTCATTGCTAAGCCACTGCGCCACGGAGCTATCAATTTGCTGATGATAAAAATTTTGTTCAATTTGAGGAAGGTTAATATACAACATCGAGGAAACTTAAGATTATAACAACGCGAACGTCTTTGAAACTCAGATAATTTACCTCCTTAAGATTTTTAACCGACTTCAAAAAAAGGAGGAGGTACTACAGGTAAAGGTATTTTTTTTATGTGTGTTACCTCAGAACTTTTTTCTCGGTGAATCGATTTTGATGATTCTTTTTTTATTTGAAAGCTCGTGCTTCTAATGTAGTCCTATATAAATTTGATCAAGATCTGACCAGTAGGTATGGAGTTATCTATTAAGCGACAGTAGCCTAATGGCAGGGTGCGTACGAAACCGCCATTCGACTACTGTCGTGAACCACTCCTAACACAAGCATTATAAGCTCCAGGTAGGAGGGGTTAAGGGGTGGTAAAGGGAATATTAATAATGTTAATATAATTGCTAGACTTTTTACGTAAAAAAAAAACATTGTCACTTACTTAAGTATTAATCATCTCTATACATGTCTCGTTCTGTTGTCATCGGGTGGAATGAAAGAGAACATTTTAAGCATTTTTAAATTAATGTATGAGTAAGGCCGTCACATCATCTTTAATTCACAGGCCACTGCCATTGCGACACCGGATTTGCTCCTCCACTCTGCGCGTTGCCCGGTCCCGGAGGCTCTTACGATTCTGGACCCGCTTCGGATTCCAGCGGTAAGACGATTTATATACAAACTACCAACCAGCCCCGGCTTTGCCTGGGCGGGTTGCGGGTTGTTCTATTTATGTGACATTATTTAGATAATTGAAGATAATCATCAAAGAGCATGTTTTATAAATTTTATAATTTCTCAAAAACTCCAAGTGTTTTAATAGAATCAGGCGTTTCTTTGCGGAAGTCCATTATATTAAAGTTGATAAAAAAATTACTTCGCATACATCCGCTCGATAAAATAAAATGATGTGTCTTACCTAGTTTTTTCTCTTCAAACTAGGTAAGACACAACACAGTAATTATTTACCAACTTTAATCGAAGTGTTTTGGTTAAAATATAGCCCCGATCACTACTAGCATTGGTTTCCATCTGTTCGTCAATTTTTATTACAAACGGTTAAGACTTAAATTAGCTGATTAGCAGACACAAAATTATACAGACACAAAAAAAAAATTAAACATCACGTCTTAATGGAATGTAAATAACCCCCTCAGCACAATAAAAGGCAGTTATTTTGATATTACATACAGAATCTACAATTTTATTTATGTGTATAGATGTATTATAAATTATTTCGTTTCCTATTTCAAACTTGTAACATTGCCGTATAGCGGTGGCTTAAGATAACCCACTACCCTATAATATCCCGTGGGTGGTGTAAAAGGCGTGGAAAATATCAGAAAAATCCATTGGCTTTAGACGGTTTGTGGTATAACCATGTCGGTTACGCCAGACGTGAAATACTCAAACCGGCGATGGACAACAACGTCAAAGATCCTCACGTCTGGTTCTGCGATTGTCAATTCACCTGCCAAATGTGAAGATTAAGGCAAATAGAGAGTTGCGTTCATTTTTTTTGTTAATTCAACAATTCCATTTTTTAGTAATTATTAACAAAATTTATTTAAATTTTTGAATGAAAAAAAAACGACTTGTGATTGGTTGTGACGTCATTATATCCGTTTAGGCTGTGAGACAATCGCAATCATGCTATACTTTTGATTCGGATTCATTTGACGGATCACATTGACGGATCAACATGTGTCATAACTCATAACAAAATAGTCAATCATAACTAGATTTTTTTACGTCAATTAAATAATTTCAAAACATATGTAACCTGTATCATGCAATGAAAACCCTCTCAGAAATGAGAGGACGCCTGTCCCCAGCAGTGGGACGTATATACGTTGTAACTTTATGCAATGACAATTTTTTAAATTGTCACGACGTAAACATTAGTGTTTTATCATTTCACCATGCTGTGGTGTTACTATAGCGATATAATAACGTCACTGGTGTTTTAATTTACATTTTAGTAAAACCATTTTAATTGTAAAAATTACATGAAAAATCAATGATTATTTTTTTTTAATTTTACTTAATAATATTTAGTTAACTTTAAAAAAAAAACATGCAACTTCTCTGTTCTCCCTATAACGGAGAAGTTTTATGTCCAGAAGTGAATTTTTGAGGGCCGGTGAAGAAGATGGGGCCCTAGAAACCAATTCTAATGGTTTTAAAAGGTGTTCTAAGTTTGTGTGTATGTATGTAAATTTCTGCATATGTGTGTGCGTATGTAGAAATTTTATTTTGAAACATACTAAAAATTGGTTATTCTTTTGTGCAGTTCAACGAAACTTCATGGTGGCGATGTACGTGATATTCCTGGGCATATTGCCGTCGATCCTTTTGATGCTCTTCCTGATATATTACTCAAGGCTCAACGTGCTGATGTGGTGGAAGAAACCGAGGAAAACGTACGTACACAACCTACTCGCAAAGAGAAATAACACGGGATCGGCCTCTAAATGCACAACGTCTAAAAATAAGCACTTCAGTAGATTTCGCACTTTTAACTCCAGTACAAGTTCTGTCTTAAGACTTTTTAGCTTCAAACGCTCAGACAGCACCGATTCCGAAATTTCCAACAAAAGATCTGATAACTTTATTGTTGATAACATAGATGGCGACACTGACAATCATATATACGAAACTATAAATGAAAATCTAGGCAACGATAACAAAAATGAGCAAGAAAAGTTTTCTAATACTCAAACACAACCGTGGTTTTATAAGGTTATTCATTTTACTAAAGGTAGAAGGAGTGAAAGAAATACTACGTCAACAAAAAAATTGCTACGTAAAGTAAACAAGGAGAATATTACTGTAGCTGACAGCTGTAAATTCAATGCCTCGGAACCTAAAGCTAACAGCTCTAATCGTGTGGATAAAAATAAGTTAGTTATAGTAAATACCGGCTTAACCTCCACTACCAATGAAAAAATCGGTAAAGAACATATTAAACAAATTGCCGATAACTTTAAAAGTCCTGCAACCACTCCATCGATTACACAATCAAAAACGAACAGGGTTGCTTTCAATGAAATGAATCTCAAAGCATCGAACACTTCCTCGCTATCAAATAGTAATAATAATAAGATAACAAATGATCATAAACACATAATACCTCAGGCGCATTTTAAACAACTCCATAGTAAATTTTCGTCTAATAATACACCAAAGTTAGATAACTCAAAAGTCAATAAAGATATAAAATCGGCAATAGTGAATACAGGACTCGCGTCTACAACAAACGAAATGATCACAAATAAATCTAACAACCAGAGTCGCATGTATAAAATCAAAAGTAGCGGCTTGTACGACGAAGTCTTAGGGCAGAAAGTGCATGAATTTAAAAAAGTGTAGATACAAATTAAATTAACACCGTGTAGACTTTGTTGATACTGACAAAGTTAAGGCGTAGTTTTTAATATAATATTATACCTAATATACCAAAACCATTAGGCGCATGCATTGACCTACAACTAAATGGACGGCGGATCTAGAACAAAATTCACGAAAAATGTGTCCCGAGTCAACTTATATAAGGATAAGCAACTTATAAAGAAATATGAAAAAACTATAACACCTTAATTCAAACCATATTGTCGTTGGAAAACTGCTCAATTTTACTTGCGATCATTTATCAGCCTCTTTTCTTTAGGAACTCTTTTTCCTCGGACACTTGAACGCGGATCCGACGTCCATTTAGTAATTAGTCAATGCGTTACATGATTGTGGTTTCGGTGCCCGCACCCCGCCTCTTTCCCCGTGCTTCCCCTAGTGACCAATCACCGTTCCGTGTTCCCTCCCTAGTTCTAATGACGTCTTAGCTGTCATGCGCCTAATTGTTTCTTTCACGTAGTACATTGTAGTATTTGATGCACTTTGGACATCCAATTTAGTTTAACATTTTTTAGTAATAGCCTTTATGCTCTCTTAATTCTTTTTTTTTTTTTACTTACTCAAAAGCCTTTTCCATGCTTTCTCATCTTGGGTTTGGAAGCATTTTAGTATTAAAAACATTGTATTATTTTATATGAATCAAACTTCTCTATTGTTTTAAACTGTTCTTATTTACGGTAACTATGAGTCTGTTCAGAAAGAGAATCGATGTAGTATTTAATGGCGTCGGGAATGACGAGCGTCTACGACGCGTTTTTATTGTAAAATATAAAGTATAATTATAAAAGATAGACTGTAAGGTAATGATAATATAAAACAAAATGTATTTACGTATTTATGTATGCTTTAACAAATAATTTTAAAAATAATTTACTATAGGTTTTAAGGAATTTTAAATGGTTGGTTCATACTTTTTGGCGGTGATCTCCTTTCCTAGCAGACTTTAATATGGTTATCTCGCTTTGAAACTACGAAAATATGTTCTAATAAGCTGAATCTTTGCACTTCTGATAGCTTTATAATCTTTTCTGTCATCTTGTGATCAAATTTCATTATAAGGATCTGTTTTAACTGATGTTTTTGGAATGATTAGAATGTAGGTTTTAGTATATTCTAGCTTCTGCATGCGGCTCTGCCCGATTAGAAACTGAAACGCATTCATGTTAATTTTTCACTTATTTTTTCATGATATAAGTATCATATGTGTTAAACCTAAATCTATTTTTGGACCAAATTTCATTAACAAACATGCAAATAAAATAATTTTAATATAGGTCATAAGATACTATTTTTACATAGTTTGTTGACAACATTCAGTGAAAATGTTCTTATTCTAATTTCATAACTGGATGAATAAAATGTCTTCGAAAAATTTTCACATCAATCGATTCCTTAAAAAAGTCATTTAAAACAGCTCCTTTGTTGTATTGTAACTTAGCATGTAGTTAGTTGTTTGTATTCACTGTATGATCTATTGTAAATAAAGCTAATTGAATTTTATATTTTTCATTTAATATAGTAGTATTGCCAGTCAAATTTAAACTTGCTGGCAACATTTCACTAACATTTATAGAAGGTGTCTGTTGGTATCGGCTTTGTGTCTTTGGTGAGTTGCTCTCTATGGGTATTTGGGCTTACATTGCATGTGTGCTTATTTTGCATGTTAAAGCAGTGTATTTAGTGTTAGTTATACATAAATGTCTAAAAAAGAATTCACTATCCCATATCATCCCGTTGGTATCGTAAGAAGCGACAGACAGGAAATAGAAACAGTCGATGGACAGCAGCATGTCCACTATGGCAAATATGGTCTTTAGGCTGTAATGGTAACGATGATGACGAAACCTTAATGCTACTTAATAGAATACTTCAGTGCATATTATATAGTATAACATCCTAATTTCAATAGAGAAGATGGATGGATGCTGCCATCTGCTTGGGATCTATAATTTATAAAATTAAATCCAAAAAACCCAAGCATACCACTGCAAGACTTTCAAGATACTATAAGCTCATTCTGCGTTGATCGGACCAAAAATTAATATTCAAAAACTGAAGGTAGCGGGACGTTAAATCCCTCAGCCCCCCCCCCCCCCCCCTCCTCCCCGTGACCATGGGTGCTGTAAAGCACCCGAAACGTCGGGAATTAAAAAGTTAAATTAAACGCGATAAAATCCGTAAAATTAGTTTCATTTAAAAAATTACAAATTATTAAAAACAATATACAATAATTTCAAATTACTATTATTACAGAGTTGATATTAGGAAGATGCTGCTGCCTATTTCCTGTTTCAGCTTCCCTCTGTCGCCTGTTGTTGTAGCACCCACGAGGTGATATGGGGTAGTGGAGTATTACGTTGTCACTACACGGCGGTTATAATATTTGAATCATTATAATAATTAAATCATATTTCTTATTTATTTGTATTTTGTTGTAATTATCTTCAAAAGTAAAAACTTATAATAAAATACATAGAAACAAAAAAAATATCAAAATCAATCTTGTATTTATGGTGTCTTTATATAACCAAAACAAGCACGATGATTCAAATAAAAACGCGATTGATTTTAACCGCCTTCCTATATATTACTTACTAATGTTTTGGCATGATTACCTATATACACACTATTATGGCGTGAACTAGATGCTTATTGTTGAAGTTTGTAGCGTTGCTCTTGTTAGACGTTAAATTTGTTTGCACGTAAATTTAAATTGATGATTAATATTACTAAATATACATTTTGTATATTATGTTTGAAATTAAATTTTATTAGAACTAAAATACAAGGGTACAAGTTCTTCAAAGGAGTAAAACGAGTTAGATCCCCTTCCGCACCAAATGAAATTGTTAAATGCAATTTTAAATACTAAAGATGTCAAAATTAATTAAATTATGATTTACTTTCTCTTAATTTTTATCGAGATCATTTTTCTTATTAAAAATTTATAAAAAAATACATGACGGCTCCGTGGCGCAGTGGCTTAGCAATGAGTTGCTGCGCTGGGGGGCGCGGGTTCGAATCCCGCACGGAACAAGTATATGTATGGCCTGCAAATAATTGTTCCGGGTCTGGATGTTTGTCCTTGTGAAATTTGTGTTTGTAAACTGCCTCCACGATACAGGAGATAATCCTAGTGTGGGGGTAACGTTTTTTTTTAAAACAAAAAAATATATAAATTGTAACTTTTCACATGGATCGTAGCTAGTTAATTTTAATATCTTTATTTTCATAAATCAAATAACAACTGTAAAATTTGCTGTCTATGATATAATAATATTGCTCTAAAAGCTTCTCAGTCCTGCTCTCCCTTGCCATTTTACATTAACATTTTATTTATATTTACAGTGTACAATCACCGAAAAAAGGCAGTTTGCAAAGACGTCTATCACGCAGCGCCAGCAAATTCGCGGCCAATTTCCAAAATGGCAACCAGAACAACGCCCAACCGGTCAGTGTGCACACACTTTCGAATCCGGACGACATGAGCTCGAGTCTCTTGCGAAGTGACTCGGACCGCAGTCCTACGGGCAATCTAAACCCGTCTGTAAACTTTTTCGGCAATTTTAAAGGCTTCTCGCTTACGCCTATCGACAAAAACCAGCAACAGAACGAGAAGGATACCACGGAAATCGCACCGAGCACAGGAAAAGATAAAGTCAAGAACACAACCGAGAGTGTTAATGCGAAGAGCGCTAAAATTACACCCGTCCATAGAAGCAGTAGCAATAACCAGAACTTAATCAACCAGAGTATTCTAAAACCTGTTTTGAGATCCGCACCTCCGTTACCTGTCGTACCTGCAACAACGAAAACAAGCCCCAAAACCAGTCCGTCCGTTAAAAGAACGAACAGTTCAGTCCAGAACAGAATAAAGGCCTTGATGAGTTCCGAGAAAACGGAAGATGTCCCATCCGTTGCGGGCAATCCTGCACCGAGGCCAGTTATATCGAGTCCAATTCTTGAAGCTTCCACATGTACTGCTAAAGAATTGATTTCACCATTGCAAGGCTCCAAGACCTTAGGGCCGATTCGTACCGCCCCTACCGTGCCTCCGGTTTCTCCGGATTTCCGTCAAAGACCTGTTAGCATGCATTCTGGTTCAGTACCGCAAAAACCTTTGCCAGAGGAACCAAAAAAAGTTAGGGAAGGGATTTCGTTAAATAGAATCGCATCTTTTCTCAAACAGGATAAACCTAAAGAGAAAGAACGTAATCCGGTCGAAAGAAGCCATTCGCTACCGAAGAATCCAAATCACCAAGTTAAGGTAACGAAGACTGTAGACAAAGTTCCATTAAGGAATTTACAAATTTCAAAGCCCATAGTGCAAAAACAGATTGAATTGCCAATCGGGACTATCCCAGTGGTTTCCGATTCAGAAGACATGGACGATACTAAAGCATTTGTTAATAGAGCCCAGAGCATGAGAGCTCCAACGACACAAAAGCCGTCGTTGCAAAGCTTTGGATCAATGAGACAACCCGTTGCACCAAGGCCTCTCTCCGTAGTTGGTCGACCCACAGCCCCACCACCACCTTTACCTAATTCAACTAACAAAGTCGAAAACGAAACATCACAATACCAAAACCCGAAATCCCAAATCGATTTGAAGTCAGTCGACTACGTTGACTGTATAGAAGAGAAACCGGTGCCTTTAGCGCACATTGACGAAGAATCTGGAGATAACATTTATGCTATAATCGAAGAAAGTCCTGAAAAACACTCTAAACCTCTGCCTGGCGTCCCCGCGCCCATAAAAACAATTCCTCAACCTCCACCTGTTGGATACAATACTCCTAAGCCTGTTCCTTCCAACTCTGGAAGTACAGAGAGCATGGGTCTTTTAGGAGAAATTGTAAACGAAATTCAGAATCGCAACTTCGATTCTATTTACTCCGCCGCAACGCTCTCTAGGAAAAAAGAGAAAGAGAAGAGAGAAAAAAACGCCGAAAATAATAGAGATAGTACTTACATGAATACTGACCATTATCGAACACCGGAAAGCGTCTATAGCAACTCTGGTGCAAAATCCAGCACAGCCTCCACTACCAGTAGTGGCTACTTACATCCTTCAGCGGTAAACGTCCCTTCTTACTTGAAAGAACAAGAAAACAACAACGATACGAAAGAAATAGAAAAATCACCCCCATCTCCCACATTGAAAGTCAATTCCAAAATACCCACATTCGCGAGGCAGGTAACACCGCCTGGTTTACGGAGTACGACCTCGTTCAAAAATATTCCTCAATCACCAAAAAATCAAACAAAAAATTCTAATCTCGCCCCCAAAACTATTTCCAATAGTCCAGACTTAGTATCTAGTTGTGCGATGGTTGACACAAAGAACGTCAAAGCGCCTGATGTTATTAATAATAATAAAATACCTAACGAAGCTCCTAAAGTAGCGACGAAACCCAATGTGACTGTTAAACCAAATGATAACAGACCACCGCTCCGACCCGCCCCGACGCTCGATAAGAAAACGACAAATAAAACACCAAACACAACAAAGACTTCAAACCCTTCCTCAAATATTAATAAACCCCAAACCGAAAAGACTCCTATCATTAATCGTACGAATTCAAAAGTAGATTCTAATGTCAAAGCAATAGCTGATAATTTAAATAAAAATAAGCCCAAACTAGTGCCAAAACCTAGCACGATAAGCGTTCAGAGAACTGATTCCAACATCAAAACGAACGCAACCAAATTGTCCTCGAAGCCGTCGAATGTTGCTAGTTTACAACAGAAATTCGAAAATAGGAAATCTTTAGGAAAAGAAGTTGGTATTCCGAAAAAATAGTTTGGAAAGTAAAGACGTAAGGCTAATATCCTATGCCTAATGTTTTGTGAATTATTTTGTATGAACTTAGTAATATAGTCTGTTCGCTTAGATACGGTCGCCTTTGTATCGCGCCGCCTTGGCATGTGCCGCATCTTGTCAAAGGTGCCGCCGCGTCATCAAAGTTCGCTGCGTGCGGCGTACACCCGCAGGAGAATTGGGCATTGTAAACGATACGCCGTACTGAAAGGTTATTTACCTACTTTTTTTTATGAAAAAAATATTTATTTAACAAACAGTAAAAAATAATGAAATAAAAGCAAAGTAATAAGTGCGCCTTCGGGTGTACCGACACTATCTTAGCGAACAGACTATACAACATCAAGTTCCGTGTACACACTACCGTTGTGTTTCGATATTGAGTTTTATTCAGTATACAATTTCGTTTTGCATCAAGCAATCAAGCGCATGTCAATAACATCCCAAAATGAATGTAGTTCACATGCAAACCAGAGGCAATTTAAACTCCTGCATATACATAAAGGTTACATTTTTTTATAGAACTAATGTGATAGACGAGCGCACAGTTCACAAAATGGTAAGTGGATGCTGTGGCCCATAGACACCTACAACTATCATCGATTACGAATTAAAATCCAGTAGGTTGTCACTAGTTATGAGGACTAAGATGGAATGTCTTGTTGCCAGGTAAAAGGATCTCTAGTTCTGTACACACACTACGAAATACAGCAGTATGATGCTGCCATTTCTCGTTAGTATCTTATGAAAGCGCGGTCTTTCCCAACGACTGAATTGTGGCTCTCCTCTTGGAATAAATGAATTTGTATCACATCTAATCTGACTGAGTATCATGTGCCCAATTTAATAAAGTTTACGTTGCATATAACATGTAAATGAGAAGGAGACATTTAGAAAACAAAGTCAAGCTTATTATTAGTATGTATTCTTTCTACCAAAAGAATTATTGAACGTAGATCAAAATGTGTATGTGTGTGTGTGGAACATAGGTATGTAGGTGTGTATCCACACAAAGGGTACTGTATGGAATATAGATTATGTGCGTGTCAGAAAACAGCAGTTGTATCACGACAGTTTTTTTTTAAATTAGTCATATGTGTGTGTCGGAGTACATGACAAGGTCATGTACGGTGTTTTCTGTTCAAATATACCGTGTTGTTTCTTCGGTTTTTTAAATTGATTTAACAAGACCAGACTTGGTCACAGGCAGCTAATATTAAGAGTTGCTAGAAATCTAATTGCAGCTAAATATAACAAAAATAAATTTCTAGTCGGTTTATTGTATATTATGAAGAATGTTTACCGGAATATTTTTTTAAAACAGATTCACTAAGCCTGCCCTTATATTTGTCTTTTATTCGTTATTTGAATAAATTGCTGTCTTTGCTGAAATCTACTTAGAAGGTTTAAAAATATTTTAAGACAAATTTGATTAATGGTACAGTTGTATTTTTTTTTCGTTTAAATATTACAACATATGCATACATACTATTAAATTTAAAAAAAAGTGGTTTTAAATTAATATTTTTATTACTTTAATAGCATTTGTCTTAATATATAATGAGTGGAATGAAGTGTTCATATTTTGATATTGGATGTCATTTTGATGAATAAATGTAATTTATATCATGTATATAAAGCTAAGGTCTAATTTAAGGGTGTGTGGCTTTTGCCTATCTAGTATAATGAAAAGTGGAATCTGGAAATGAACGATAATTATATAGTATATAGATATAGTTAGAAAATATTTTGTACATATTACTTATTTTCGTTTAGAATATTGGATAGAAACGTGAAGTGTCTTATAAAAGGATGATTACTTTTATTTTTATATAGAATAGGTTAAAGAAGGCTTTGCGCTTGAAAATGAACGTTATTCAAAATGGACGCAGCAATATATATATCAGCCATTCAATGAGTAGGTATATTTTTGTATCAATACAAAATGGTCCGCTCTATTAATTTCATATGTGACTCATCTGAACGACTAATATTTTCATTGTTTTCTCTAAATGTTAAAATTTTATATAAATTGCGTCTAATATTTCTATAGGTAAAATATACGTCCATTATATTTCCGTTGAAAATTTGTATTGATACAAAAAGTACATGTGCACACCGCCTTAAACAGAATATTACGCTAATCTGGTGCTAGGACAGCAATTGTTTTTCGAGATTTCCATAGTAAATAATAGCTTATAAACTATTTTTGTATAGAACGAAATATATTAAGACGCGTGTTGAGTTTTTGTGACTGAAATATTAAATACTTAGGGCAATAATTATATATAACATAATATAGATAAGTTAATAGCTGCTAGCTAGTTTATTCGTGTTAACAAAACACTGCCGGCTTGGTACAAACATGGTGCTGATTGTTTCAAAAAATAATTTACCAATGTCTGAATTCAAATTAATTAAATTATAATACATCGAAAATAGATACTTTGAAATTAAATTCAGTGGTTTTATATTGAATAAGAAAATATTGCTTGTTGCTTTCTCAAGATATTATATTATGTATTCCTTCACTAAAAATAAAACCGTATTTTTTAATTCTTCAAATTGTATAATTCCCGTTGAATAAAATAAGCTATTACCGAAGACGGATACGTTTTGTATATTTATTAATTTATTTACTGATGTAAACTTTGATCAATAATATTATACAACTAGATAACGGGTCCTTTACAAAATATAGCTACATATAATATAATGCGATGTGGAGAGATTTTCGCTTTGATTTTTTGTTCTGTCCTATTATATATTGTTAGATGTTACATATATTCCTAATAGATAACTAAAATAACGACAGATGTTAACATTTATTTACTACTTACGTTTTCCCTCTGGGACCCCAATTTTAGTACCACCTTTAAAAGATTAACTACTTTGTAAATTGTGATAATTATTAGCGTCTTAAATGAGTGAAAGTACATTATAATATTGTAAATACAACCAAAGAAATTGTATTTAGCGGCGTTCGAGTTTCATTAACGGACTTTATTAGATTAAGTACTATCATAAATGAGTGGTGTCTTTTTGTAATTACGAGTAACTTTTACGTTTATAGCAAGACTGTCGCACGATTAAGTACTTCATTTATGTTTTGCACAATCATTCTCAGAAATTGTAAGACAAGCTAGTTAAATTAATGAGACGTCGAATAAAAAAAAAATAAAAAGTGACTCAATTGAAATTTGTTTTATTTTAAAAAATAGCCATTTTTATTACAGTTATGAGTGACAAACGAAGTTCATTCCATCTGATTGTAAAAGATTACTGCAGCTAATTCCAAAAGATAGTCACCCTTAATCTCGAAAATAGAATGAATGTTAATAATAATTATACAACCTCAGATCACAACAGTGGGTGTGCTCCTGTAGATTTTTTAATTGGTAAAATTATGAAAGGATAATACTTAAACAGGCAGACTACAAGGATCCCGGCCAGTTAATATACGTAATAATTAGCACATGAAAGTTTATCATAATACCATTTAAAAAAAATTGTAATAGGTCATGGTACGATTCTAACGTTATTGGACTTTTACCAAGCTTTCGACTGTCTAATGATCGCCTCCTGCTAGTTAGTATTGTGGTTCAGACAAAAATTCGGTCAAGTAGTTCAGTAGTTACTTGAGTAACCGATTGCATTCAGTAAAAGTAGTAAAAAATTATAGTTCTACACTGAACGTTCTCACCCCAGGATCAATAGTCATGGTGTTTCTAAGGGATCAATACTTGGTCCACTTCTTTTCATAATTTAAAGTGCCGATGTTTTTAAAGTTATAAACTATTCCATGTATTTCTACGCTGACCATGTGCAAGTATACGTGACAGACTAGCCACACAAGCTACCAAAAACTGGTAACACAGCTTAATGAGGATTTGGATAGAATTGCTGACTATTCTATGCGAAATGCTCTTGTTAAGACACGTGTGTGTGTGGTGGTGGCCACAAATTATATTTATTATAAGAACTGTAAACATATAATGCGCGTGGATAAAGCCAAATACCTTGGTAAAACCTTGGACAATCACGGGAGACTCGAAAATCATAGCACTTAATATGGTTAAAAACTACTTTTAGTAGAAATATAAAGGTATTAATTATACTCACTTAATCAGTGACCAACTTCCTGAACCGTGAAGCTCTGTGTAAGTCATTAATTTTAACTAGGCTAACTACGGAGATTTTGTTTTTGGCCGTGGCAAGAAAAGGGGAGATCTAACAGCGGGCAAGGTGTTCAGCCCGAGGAGCGATCAACGCTCCGTCAGAGAGCTGCTGTACAGAGCCGTTTTTTACAAAGCGCAGTACTTTGGAACTATGATAAGATGATTTAGGCTTAGGTGCATTTCGCTTATGACATATTCGACAGCGCTGTCACATGTTAATGGGCGCATGTTGTCGGTTTTGTTTTGATGTCTCCCCCCCAAGTCACATCACTTCTTTTTAGAAAGTTGCTTCCATGTACTTGCACTCGAAGATTCATCATCTTTACAGCCCTTCACAAGACCACTGCTGAACATAGGTCTCCCCAAAGAATGCCACAAAGCACGGTCCAGAGCAAAATGGATGCAGGTTCAGGCTTCCTGCACGTCTTACCAGGTTGTCACTCCATCTTGTGGGGGCCACGCCACACTTCGCCTGAGGCTGCCACTTCAGAACCTTTCTTCTCCATCGGTTGTCGATTCTTCGATATATATGGCCGGCCCATTTCCATTTCAGCATACACATCCGTTGGGCAATGTGGGTTACTCTGGTTCTAGTGCGGATATCCTCATTTCTACGTTTATCACGCAGATAAACCGCGAACATAGCCCTCTCTATAGCTCGTGAACGACCTTGAGCTTCTTCATACGGCCAGCAGTGTAGGACCACGTCTCAGATCTGTAAGTCATCACTGGCAAGTGGCAACACGCACTAGTTGTATAATCTTGTTTTTAAGATTTGAGGTATACTTGACGAGATATGTCGTAACCTCCGGAACGCTGCCCAACCTAGTTTGAGCATAACTGAATCCTTCGATTGACCTCTCGGTCGAAGTTGGACTTACCTGGTCAGACTATTTATCCCAGCTAAACATATTCGTCGACAACTTCGAGCGTAGTGCTCCCCACAACTATCGTCATAGGTGCGACATGGACGTTACACATGATATTTCTCTTGTCAATGTTCATCTTAAGAACTATCCGTTGGAAGGCAGTATTGAGGTCATTGAGCATAGTGCTTAGGTCCTCCAGTGATTCGCTGCAAGATTAAGTGAGCAAAGCAAAATTCTAGAATTCAACTGAGGTCAATAAGGTCAGCACTACTGTATTACAGCCGTAAAACAGCGGCATTTACTGACAGTTTCCGATATACGGCGCACCAAATACCATTTTTAAAAAAATCAAGACTTATCTATGTTCTAGATAAATAAAAACAAGGAATTTTCAAACACTTCGTTCGTTAGCTGAAATCCATGACATCTTCTTTCTGCTAACTCATCATGGATGTCTAAGGCTTTTGCTAGTTTTCACTTGTGCGCAATCTTACATACACGTAATTTTACTCAATTGAACTTTGAACCCAATACGCAAGTCTTAGGGCTGAAGAGACATATCATCCATACATACTTAAGGTCCTACGGCTCGTGTTATTACAGGCCAGCCCGGATCGTGCCCGCCTGTGCGGCTGATTTGATCAGCAGAAACCATAGGCCTGTCGATCTAGCCTGTGATAAAACAGGCCGTGAGATCTATACAAATAAATAAATTTGAAGTGTCTGTTTATAATATCAAAATTACAGCTTTTTACTAAATGCATATGAAAGTATATACGGTACTAATAACAAAAACACAATTTTTAAAGTCTTTGTCTGTCTGTCTGTTTGTTCCGGCTTATCTCCGAAACGGCTGGACCGATTTTGAGGGGATTTTCACTGGCAGATTGCTGATGTCACAAGGAGTAACTTAGGCTACTTTTACTTTAGAAAAAACAATTTTGGTTCCGCGCAAAAAAATTAAAACCCCAAATAACACGCGAGCGAAGTCGCGGGGAACAGCTAGTTTTAAATAAAATAATTACCCCACCTTAAAACTGATTATTCTATGGTGATCATTTTCGTCTCGTCATCTCGAAGGTAATACCTGAGAATAAGTTAGTGTTTGTTCCCTGAGCAATATTAATCGCAAAGCTAGGACCCACTTGTTACACTGCAACACATGTGCTTTTAGATTAATAAGTAGCATCAATAAGGTAATCTAATGTTTATAATTTTATTTAAAACTAGCTGTTCCCCGCGACTTCGCTCGCGTGTTATTTGGGGTTTTGATTTTTAAGGGTTTTAAGTTACTCCTTGTGACATCAGCAATCTGCCAGTGAAAATCCCCTCAAAATCGGTCCAGCCGTTTCGGAGATAAGCCGGAACAAACAGACAGACAAAGACTTTAAAAATTGTGTTTTTGTTATTAGTACCGTATATACTTTTATATGCATTTAGTAAAAAGCTGTAATTTTGACCTTATAAACATACACTTCAATTTTATTTATTTGTTTAGATTTCAACAAGTCCACTAATGAACATAGTCCTTCCCTAAAGAATGCCACAAAGCATGTCCTGAGTCTTCTGTATCCATCGACTTCTTGCATCTCTTACCAGGTCGTCATTTAGTGGAGAGCCGCCCTACATTCTGCTTACTGGTACGAGGCTGCCTCGCGAGAACCTTTCTTCCCCATTGGTTCTCGGTTCTTCGAGATATATAGCTCGCCCATTGCCACTTCAGCTTACTGATCTGTTAGGCTATATTAGTTACTCTGGGTTCTCCTATGCATTAAATGTTTCTAAAAATTAGGATAGTTTTGAGGAATCATTGTACTTTGCAGCAGAAATGGGTTCTACAGATGATCATGTTAAGGGCTTAAGGGTTTGCTTGGGACTAAAGATTTTAAAATTTGACTGGAATTCTCAGTACGTACGAAGTATGTCGAAAGTTTTGTACAACAAAATTCCCTATCTTGTTTTGGTTTTCACCGGGTTGTTTCAGGGATCTTAATCATTTTTGTTAGATATTTTATACTTTTAAAATCTAAATAGCGAAGAATTCTTCTTATATGAATACACCAATTTTTTTCCTGCATGTCTGACAATCTGTATCATACTGTCTCTAGGTATCACCAAATCCATAGTAATAAGATTTTTTTGTTCCCAAACAATTGAATGTATATGATCAACATCAATGCGTTTAACGACATATCAACATGAACTTATGTTATTTTTGAGATTTGGGTATTTTTCTAAAATCTACTCATAAGCCATGATTGATGATTGCAAATTCAATTTCATTTGTTTTGAGCAATATTTGAGAGATGTTACATTTGCTTGTTGTAATAAATGTTTGTATCAGATGTTTCTTTTGAGTTTTAAAAAATGTTGTGCTGTGATGACATAGAACTGACTTTTAGGTTTCCACTCCTAATTTTTCTTCAAATTTAGAAGGAATATCCTTGGTATCTAACTTAATAAGGTAATAATTAACAAAGATATTGCATGACATACATACAAAAAACATATTCAAATTCAGAACCTCTTCCTTTTTTTCGGTCTACTGCCTTATTTGTTTGATGTCATGTTAACAGTGGTAGAACCACGCGGCAGCTTTTGTTGTCGCACAGATGGGCCGGCTCGAACCGGGGTGGTACCACGACCTCACAGAAAACCAGCGTGAAGTAGAGGTTTACCTCTGCGTTTCGCTTGGTGAGTGCAGGTGGCCGGAGGCCCTTTTTACTGGAAATGAGGCATTCCATCTTAGTCCTCACGGGTGACAACGCATCTACATTTTGATTTGTAACAGATGATATATGTAGATGTCTATGGGCCGCAGCAACCACTTACCATCAGGTGGGCTATGTGCTCGTTTGTCACCCTTATACTATAAAAAAAAAATCATGTCTAAAATAAAAATAAACAACAAATTTAGTTTCAGTTGTTTTATTTAGTGAAATACAGACAAACTTATAACTATTTCATCTCATTCAAAAATGTGTGCTTCCATGTATGCTTGCTTCTTTATAAAAAGACATCAATAAAATCTAACATTAATTTACTTCCCTGCAGCTGTAGCAAGGGGGTTTCTTAATACTAAAATCACGGAATCACCACGAAGGAACATTTTGGAGATAAATTTGTCTTTATTCACTGCTTTACCCTGAAACAATAAGATTAAGTGTGCATTTTACATCTTTACATATTTTTAAATCTACCATGAACATATGGAAATTATGACTGCAAACATGGCTTGCAGATGTAAGTATATGGAATTATCAAAGTAATATAATTTTGTTTAAATGTTTAAATTCTAGGCAGAGCCAATATCTGTGCAATTACCTAAATTGTTGGTTTTCAGGTCTAGATTCAGGATTTTATAGCATTTCATTTAAGTTATTTTTTCTTTCTGTTTCGGGTACTTTACAAAATGGATGGTGCATGATGATTGAAAAAGTTGTTTATTCAAAAGCTAAAGGTAGCCGAGCAAACTGTGACAAAAAAGCGTCAAACACCTCACTACATATATACTTACATCTGATCTTAAAGCAGGCAAACTCCTGTTTTACTTTAACTGCCTTATTGGTCTACTGGTCATAAACATAACTGCTGATCATGTGGTTATAGGTTCAAATTCTAGATCTGAACTGATCAACTCTACAACTCAGTAAGGATGGTTGACTATCTATGTACATACATGCAGTGTTTTACAGGGTTGGTTGTTGTTGGCCAGAAGGTTAATGTTTTTAAGAGGTAAGTATAAAAATTTAAGTAACAATTAATTACCTTTTTTCCTTTACCAGTACGAGGTACTTCCGTCCACATTTCTTTAACGTTTTCCAACACCATGTTACAATGCCGGTCAAACGCTTTCACGCGTCCTAAAAGTTTTTTGTTATTACGACAGTTAATCAGCACTTGTGTATTGTTTTTCACCGACTGTGTGAGAACTGAGAGTGGACCAGTACTGAATTCCTCGTCTTCTATTTTAGACAATTCTTCTAAAGTCATCTCAGAGCGTGGCTTAGCTGTAGACGCCCTGAAAATCAAGTACTGGTAAGATGATGTTTGACCTTATTTAATACAAATTGTATATGGTAAGTAATCTACTTACATTGTGTTTTATAAAAGAAGCTAAATTTAACACCACGCCGAATAGAGGTATAATACTAATTAAAGTTTTTTGTCGGTAAATTGCAAGATTCAACGTGACTTTCTGGTATATAACTTTTTATTAAGATTTTTGGCTTGGATGCTTGCCATTTTAGCCAAAGATAATATAATCACTACCAGGGTGATGCCACTCTGTATGAAATTCGAGAAACTTGCATACAATCATAATTTTAACTATGTTTAGATTGGGCATATAAAATTAAAACGAGAAAAAGATATTTTCATCGTATTTAAACTGTGTCATAGAGAATTATGGTTGTTTCAGATTGCCATTTTAAAAATTTGATATAAAAATACATAATATATGAGAAGAAAATGACAATGTTAATTCTGTGTTAAACTTTTTTTTGGTTGCTCATTAGAGTATAATTACATAAATATTACTCTGAGATTTGCACAATTAATTCACCTATTAAACTATTAATTGATTAAAATTGCAAAAGAAGCCATGAATTAAAAGAAGAAAAAAATGACATTTGTTTGTCAACGTCTTTCACGTTGAAAATATTTTCTGAAATTGAATCAAACTTATTTACTAAGTTTAGATTTTAATATTTGATATTGCGTTTTGCTTAAATTCAATTATTATTGGTTCAGAATACTTTATATTCGTTTGTAGGCAATTCTTCTCTATTGTGTGTGTCGAGATTTTTTGTGAGGTTTGATGTTGACTCTGTATGAGATATTGATTATAAATATTATTTTATTTTAATCATAGAAGTATTAGGCTTAGAACCCCAGTAGGCGCACGCAAAGTGAAGCCATTTCAAGTTAGCCTTTAAAGGCTAAGTACGACTTTTGGCGCGTTAGTACCAGGAGTAATAGTGTTCTGTGGTTAGTACTCGAGTCTAGACATGGGCAATGTGTATCACTTTAAAGAAAAGATTGATATGTATCTTTTGATCACTGTGATATGTATCACTCTTTTATATCTTTATGTATCAGTAGCTCAAGCTCGCGCACACGACACGCATTGCATTATATTGCGCTGCTCACTGAGCGTGGCTCGCTTCGCTCAACTCAAACCTATCAGTATGAGTGATAGATAAGTACCTATAGAGCTGTTTGCATTTTGCTTGGTCGTAAAATTGTGTATCTTTCTGATATATTTGACTGCTGTTTCTTTCTATGTATATATTTGTTATGATTAAAAAATTAAAGTTTGAAATTGAAATTAACAATTTCATTGGTGCCGGCAGGGATCGAACCCGGGTTGCTCGAGTACTGTGAAACTTACAGCGGGCGCTAACCATCTGAGCCACCACGGCTCACGGCTCACCTATACGTAGTTAAATTTATTAGGTAAAATTTGAATTCTTAGGTTGGCGTATTTAGAAATCAGTGGCTATGTACAGTGACTTTTTTAATTATAATTTTCAGCATCATTTACATATATCCATATCGTTTTTTTATACATACTTATACTCATTCAAATGTCAGAGTTGCAAATTATGAATACTAGTAGAGAGACTAAGCCCTATGCACCAGTCGTAGAGTTATCAATTTACCTATTTGTGCCGACGTATGACAGTTTAGAATGATCAAACAAATCACTCTCTCCGTCTTGCGAAAGCGCGACAGAACATTCTAAATAATGAGGTGCGAAAGAAACGTCTGTACTATGGACTTTTCGAAATCTTCCTGGAATGGCCGGCTATCCCGGCCGAGGTATAATATAAAGCACCGTGCGCAATGTGCGACTCAGATGTTAGATAAAAGATGCCTTGAGTGAATGATTTGTAAAGATACACTGAACATTCGGATGCGGATTGATATAAAGAGTGATTGATGGAAACGGATTGATTCATATCTTTTGTATCTATCTCTCCTGAGTTACCCATCTCTACTCGAGTCCACGTAATCACGAAAAAATGTAAAAATCTCATTTTACGGTTAAGTACTGCCTAGCATCTTATATTTTTGTAAAAACATTCATCAAAAGAAAATAATAAATAATAAATTTGACAGACGCCAATATAATGAAAATGTTGCTAGGCATAGTAAAATATTTTACCCCATTTTTTCTTATTATTATAATTATAAAAAATGCATATTGAAAAAAGAAATACATACATACTGCTAATAATCCCATTCACATATAAATAGATATTTTTATTTGCCAAATATTATTAGTGTTCCCATTTGCCACGAAAAAAAAGTGTTGATTTTATTTTGTTTTGATAATATGCAGTTGTTTTTACCTTTTTATGGTATGTGTTTTAGGATAAATAACATAGCCTATGATTGTTTTTTTTTTAATTCTAATTTACATATATTTAAGATTTTTAGTTCGATTCTTTTATGAATCTAAAAAGATAACATTTCGAGGATAGCGTCATCAAAGCGCCAGTTGTTTAGAAAACTGTTGCAGTTTCAGGGTCATTAAGAGATATTTTTTTTATGTACTTGGGTATATTTTATTTTATATTATTTAATAAACATTTTTAAATTCATGTTTTAGTTGAATAGTTTATCTCCTTCCGATTCTTATTTTGTTTTAATGCAAAACATAATATCAATAAAGTAATAATAATAATCACTTGAAGCTGACCGCACTCTTAAGTCTCGTGATTCCTTCTAATATTATATCCATTCTGTGAAAGTTGTATGTACAAAGTTGTATGTTGTAAACTATACGTTGAAACCGATTTAAATTAAATATATCACGTAGATTCTAATAATGGCAAGAATCGAGATCAGTGTATGCTTTAATATACGGGTGAAGCCGCGGGTCACAGCCACAGTAAGAAACGAGTTGAATGTAAATTCAAGAAAAACAACTTCCTTCTGCGTGAATCCCATATCTCTGGTGCCCTTTGACCTACAGGACCCAAATTCAAACTCGACCGAGTTACTACCTCAAGGTATCCACATACCAAATCAGTCCAGTGTCAATCGGTCCAGTGGAACGGAAGTTATCGTGTCGGCATACAGACTAACAGACTGCCAGCTAAAATCATTAACTTCCTTTCAATGCTACGCAGAAGGTTGTTAATAACTAACGAAAAAATATCTGACAGCTAAAATGATTATCTGACAACTACTTACTTGTTAAGTGTAAGTGGGACTGGATTGGAAAAGCTGGAAGAAATCATTGAGATATAATGTACTACGTACTAGAGAAGACGCCTCAACCATAGATAAGAGTGTAGCCTCAACTCGATTGTTTGTAACACGCGTTAGAGTGCGCGCTCTCAAACTCACTTAGTATAGTCTGTGTCAAGCGGTTGTTGCAACGTGAGAAGTTAGAGTGAATAATTATTTTTAAATTAATATGCCTTCGTGTGCATTGAGATACTGTTCAAACTACTCGAGAAATATAAGGAAAAGTCAAGGGGTGAATTTTCACCAGTAATTTAAACTTATTATTATCTTTAAAACACGCTTAATTTAATTATATTTTTCAACTGCAACGTATACGTGAATGTCAAAAAGTAAAATATTTTTATGCGCAGACTTGACACTATCGACGTATAATGTTAAGTAATTATGAACAGTAAAATATTTATATATAATAACTGTAGGAAATGTTAATGCATTAAAATTAATATTTTTTATTATTATTTTTATTTAATGGTTTCCTCGGCTGTGTTATGAAACAAAATAATCATGGATCAAATTTGTTCAGCAGAATTGCAGCGAAGGAACGTCAAATTATTCACGCATAATTTCCGTGCAGTTCAAAAAAAAAAGACAAATACACCGCAAAAACAGGAAGAGTGTACTTCAAGAAATAAGCAGTACCATGCGACAATGTAATTATATAATTATATAACATTGCTGGGATTTATGTTTTATTTTTTGATTAGACGACGAACGAATGTTTTGTAATGTTCAGTATATTTACGGGACTTAAGAGAGGCGGAAACCTCGGCCCGCGAGTTATTCTAGTATATGACGGTTTTTTAATAATGTTACACTAGAATTTTTGCAGGCTTCCCAAATAACTAGTATCTTTTTTTCAGCCAACAAAATGTGGTGAACAGGAAGTATCAGAACTTTAGATAGTCCGAGCAAAATTGTACTTAAAAATAAATTACACAAGTGATGTCTCCTAAGCTAAGTTTGAGTGATGTATACGAAGCCTAAGCTTTTAAATATAGTTCTACCTTAATAACGGAATCAATAATTCTAGGTTATTATAAAAATAATAAAATATAAGCACGTTGTAATATTGTGTTTGTATTTAATAGCAAGGAATCTGCAGCTAGAAAGAAACTTACTGAGAAATTTAAGACAAAATATTTATCTAAAGAAAAAATGTGCTTCTTACAAATCAATTTTAGAAAATTTGAAACATAAATTCGGTCTCAACTTAAATGCTGAGATTGATTTAATGGGTAAAGCAGAAGTTATGGAGTGACAAATCTTTAACGAAAAAGAATAAACAGAGCACGCATTATTAATTATACACTGCATGCACCTTTACGTAAATTGGCATTGATTTTACACTATTATTCACCAGCTGCGTATAAATACGTTAGAGAATGCTAGAAAAGTAATAATAATGATCTTTGAAAATAAATGCATATTTTTATATTCTACATATTTACCTTTTAAAGTATTAAATAAAATATAATTAAAATGTAATTCTGACATAATATTATGTTACATTATATTAACACATTATGCAATATAAATAACAATTTAAAAAATTGTACTCGATACAATTTACAATACAATTTAAATAAACATTTACTTATTACATACTGATCATTCTACCTACGTATATAATCTATGATGACAAAAAACGCGCATGCGCGACTGTACTATTTACTGCGCATGCGCGAAGACATACAGTAGTGCACAGTTTTTGTTCGGAATAGCTTCTCTAGTAC